CAACACCCCCCCCCCCCTAAAAACCTCACGTGATTAATGGACGCCCCCTTATGATTGTTTCGGTATGTCTCGGTCGCAAACCTTTGGTGTCACCATCTGTCGGAATTAGGACGCAGACATATTTACTCTTGTATATTTGGATTTGTCATTTGCTTTAAAAGTCAGCTGTTTTTTTCGATTGAAAAGTGTTATTTGTTGGTTATGCAAATGATTATAAATCAAGTAGTACGGAAAACTGTTAGCGTAACTCATAAAATATTTACCACTTACAATTGTCGAAATTTATCCATAATCAACAAAAAGTCTCAACCAAATAAGCAAGGTATTGATGAAATTCAAATATATTCATTTAAGTTAAAATTAGTAAAGTTAACAAACTTTTACAGTTCTAGATAAGCATGACATCAAATTACCGGAATATATGGAACTATATTATTTTGAAGAAGATAAAATTGATTTATTGCATTCGATGATTTCAAATATGATTGTACTAAAAGAATTTGTTACACCTCAAGAAGAAGAAAATCTTATGAACGAATTGGAACCTCTATTGAAGAAACGAAGATATGAATTTGATCATTGGGACAATGTGAATATATAATAGACCAATACACTGGGGCCTCGCTTTACGGCCTAGATACGTTCCACGAGACTTGGCCATAAAGCAAAAAGCCGTATAACGAAACAATTATTCTAAATTCAATGGGATCGGTTCCAAATTTAATAAATATATAATATGGTTCATCATTCAAAATGCATTTTGTTTTTTTATTTTGTTAAAATTATAAACATATTTAACAAGAACATCAATTTTACATAAAATAAGAAACTTCAAAAACATTACATAATTTTCAAATAAAAATGAAACAACTAAAACCTACAGATCACTGTCACCATCATTTTGCGCTGGTGGTTTGAAAAATTTGTCTAAAGTTGTTTGTCTTGCCTTCTTCTCTATTTCTTCCTTTAGTGATTTATTTCCTTGTTCAAAATATGAAAAAGCGCTCGACATGGTTTTTGATGTTAGCTGTTTGGATACAACAGGTTCTGTATCTTCATCAATTGCCGGCTCTGCTTGCAACTGAATGAGTTCCTCATATGAAAGGGGTTCCCTATTAGCTGCAAGTAGATCCAGCACATCAGATTTGTTTAAATCTTCAAAACCGTGATTGCGCAATATAACGACATAGAGAAAAAAAAGCCGTTATAGCAAAACATTTTAGGCCATATATCGAAAACCTACCTCAATTAAAGAGGGCCGTATAGCGAGGCCTGGGTGTACTTGTCATTTACTAATTTTTTTTTTACAAATATTAGATTTTTTAAATTGCCTTAGTATTCCAAAAGTCTTTATTCAGATTTTTAAAATTATATTTATCAAATATCTGCAATTTAGGCAAACTAGTTCATATATTATTAGTATTTGAATAAATATATATATATATAGTACAAATATTATAGTCAAGTACAGTGAGCTGTAATCACTTAAATGATTTCTTTTAAAAAAAACCTTTATTTTTAACACTTTATTGTTATAAATTCTTAAATGTCATGTTAATTATAAATATAAAATAATAGATATAGTTTTTGAGTGAGAGACCATTAAGATTACCAAAGGTCAACATAACACTTTTATGTTGTTTATTTTCACAAATTTATTAAACTATACTTTTTTTTAGGCTATACATGGTTTTCGTGAAATAGAACACAAAAAATGGAACAGTGATAATGACAAAATATTGCAACGAGTGAGAGATGTAGCATTTGATAAGAAGTCTGTGGAAAATGTCTTGGAGCATGTACATGTTTTAGATTTGAGCAAAGATGGGAAAATTAATCCTCATGTTGATAGCATTAGAGTACGTTTAGGTACATTAGAGTACCAATGATTTTAATTGATTTAAAAATATAACATTTTTATAATTGTTTATTTCTATAAGCTTTAACATTAAATTTAATTTAATAATAATGTATATTAACATTGCTATAAAACAGCTTCACCATGTACAATAGTTAATGCCATTTATTTTTTTGAGAAAGTTAAAAAAAATTTCTATTGATTTTTTTGTTATTGTATGCAATACTAACTTTTCTTTACAATATTTTCTAATATAATTATTCACTTGGTATTTATTATAATTCTGTTAAAAAAAACATTTGGCTGTCATAGTTTTGTGGCCATACAATTGCTGGATTGAGTTTGATTTCAAATAGCGTTATGCGTCTGACTAGGGCAGTGAGTGAAGATTCTAACATGACTGCAGATGATGAAACAAAAGTACTAGCAGTGAATGTATATCTTGAAAGAAGATCACTATACATAATGAGGTAAATTATAATATCATTTATCAAAATAACTATTCCAAATGAATGCAATTTTAAGTAATAATTGATACTGATCTTTACAGGAATGTAGCTCGCTATGATTTTGCTCATGAAATATTAGGAAGTGATAAGTCTTTGTTCAAAAATAATGTTGTTACGAGGGATAGAAGGATATCTGTAATATGCCGAAATCATCCATAATGTATATTGAAGATTCCTGTACTTTTTGTTAGTAATAATAAAATTGAACTTTGTTCAATTTTTTTTTACTGTTTTACTCATAGTGCATTTTCAATTTTGGGTTTTATTTAGACTGATTGGGACTCTAGCATTCATGTAACTTAATGTTAAATAATTATTTGATAGTACTCCAAAATTTTAAAATGAATTTTTTTTTGTTATGGTATTGGAATTGTTTGGACAAAATTTTAATTAGCACCATTTGATCCTGGTTTTGCAGATGCTACTCAAAATATTATTCAAAATTAAATGGTAGAACCTACTCAAATGGTGAAAGAATTGAGCCAGTACATCTATATAAGGTGTAGTATATATATATACACCTAAGTCTGTTTTTACACGGAGATTGGTTCCAGAAGAATCCGTGTAAAAAAAAAAACGTGTAAAAAAAGACATTGATCTTATACAAAAATGGGTGATTTGTTCCTAATCTCTAAAACCTATTAAAATTGGTGAAAAACAAGAATTTTTAAGAACAAGAATTAAATTAGTGCTATTCACATTTGCTTTGACCAGTAACAATTGTTTGTACGCGCTAAATGGGAATTCACTTAAATCTTTAAGCTAGTGTTCGCAAACTATCGATACTATCGATGGTTTCAGACTTTTTTCTTTCATAAATACTTTTTTGTGATATGAACATACTTCGCAAAAATTTAATTTGACAGAAAAAAATTAGGTACATAAAATTTCAAATCGTGCTAAATGGAATAAATTCGTGTAAAAAAATTAAAAATATTCAATTTTCAAACCGTGTTATTTCAAAACCGTGTTCAAAAAGACCGTGTAAAAACAGACTTAGGTGTATATATATGCTATAGTTTATTATTATAAAAAAGTTTTGTATACTTGTAGAAACTTTGTACAGTTTAAAATCCTGCTTCCAATGAGTATAAAACCGAAAACTCTGCTAGTGTGGCTTATGTTTATCTATCAACTTTGACTCGAAAAATATAAACTATTAAATATAATATACCATTTGATGGTCAAAAATGATCATTCAAAATTTGTACATCTTAATAATAATAATATGTAATAATCTTTAATCGTTAGAATGCGAGGAGGCGCTTATGCGCTTCGATATTTATTTATTTATTTATTTTATTTATTCATAAGCAAGCCGTAATCAATAACAATAGATATTATTTCAGGCTCTTGTCAAGATTGCGTTTCTAAAATAGCTATGCAGCCCAATCGCTGTAAAAAAGTTATTTAAGTTTTTCAAAAATGTTATAAACCCAAATATTCAAAAAATTCTCAAAAAAAATTTGCTTTGTTCTAATTATGCTAATAAGAGAATTTGCCTTAAGACCATCTCGCAATGTTACAAAAAAAAAAAAAAAATCAAAAAAGCAAAACTTAAATTATTCGATTAGATATAAATATAATATATATATATATATATATATATATATATATATAATAAATAAATATATACAACACTCAGATTTTTAACATACACTTTATTTAATAATTACAGACGTTTCGAGAGCATGGTATGCCTCATCTTCAGTGTAATTTCAAAACAGTTAATTATATACTAACACATTATTTAATATTTTATTTAAATTACATTTAATTGTTGAGAAACAAAAAGAGATAGTTGCTGTCTTATTGTTTTTCAACAATTAAATGTAATTTAAATAAAATATTAAATAATTTGTTAGTATATACATATTACCTGTTTTGAAATTACACTGAAGGTGAGGTATACCATGCCCTCAAAACGTCTGTAATGATTAAATAAAGTGTGTTAAAAATATATTAATATATATTAATATATATATATATAGTAAAATCAGAACCAATGTAAATATTCGACTTGCCAACCAATGTTCAACTATATACAAAGACACAAAAAATTATCCATATAAAGTTGTACAAATACGAAAATTTTTAAATCGAACGAAAAACGTCAAATAAACAAACGGACGTTAAATGTTTGCATGAAATGTTAGAATTTATTTTCCTTTGCAAGAGGTTATATAATATTTTCCTGCAAATATGAAGTGCAATCACTCAATACTCCCAAAAACCATTAAATTTTTTATTTTTCAAAAAAGACTAGAGATAGATAATAGTAAAATAAAAAAAACGAATTATTATTGATACGTCATTGAAAATGTTTATGAATGATAACGACTGTCATTTTGGTCATGCACGTTCGATTTTCATAGAAAAAAGTTTTAGTAAGGTTATGAGATTCTATTTCTTTTAATTCATTGTCAATGTAAGTTCAATCAGTCGAAATTTATTTTACGCAGTATTTGTATCATTTTAGCATTATATTTTATCAATTACACTTAGCGCATAATTTTTTTAAGTTATTGGTTCACATATAATACTGAAAGTGAATAATGAGTAAATTGTGAAAGTAAATTAATAACAGCAAAATTTGTAAATTTTAGGAACACAATTAAATTAAAACGTTATTAAATGCATAGACCTAGTTAACAGTTATAATTTTATAATATGAAAATTAAAGAATGGCGAAAGATGAAGATGATAAATTACCTGATAAAGATGCCGCAAGAGAATTTTACGCTAAATATGAACCGAAAGAAATTTTAGGAAGGTATTTTAATATTAATTATATTAAACATATTGCTTTCTGTGTTGAACATTTTAGTTTAGTTTTAACGATGTAAAAATGAGTTAAGTAATGCGAAATGAATTACCATTTTACTATTAGGTATATTATTATATATACAGGAATACCCCATTTAACGCGGTGATACGTTCCATCAATGTAGAGCGCAATGCGAAACAGCGCTAAACGAGGCTATCTTTACATGGAAATATTGGGATTAGGGGAAGACGGCTAGGAAATTGGTTAGTTATTAAATTTAAAAGCATGTTATTTTCACTAAAAATAAAACCAAACATTTATTTCTTAAAGCCCAAATTAATACCACATTATTATTTCTTGCAAAAATAAAGACAAATTATAAATAACAAAACGAATATTCTTGAAAAAACAAATAACATTCTAAGTTAGTCATATTGGGTTAGCCTTCCGCGTTTTTAGTGTTTTGTCATTTTGTGACAAAACGGCAAACACTAATGTTGTTTCAATTTTTCTTTTGCGTTGCTCTCTTAAAAGTTTTTCATAAACGGATAGAGCATCTCTAACACCACGCCTCACTTAATCACTAGAGCTTATGTCAAAATTCGGATTATTTTCAATGAATTAATTCATTATTTCAATTACAGTAAACCACCTCCTTTTTACAAACACCATCCAAAATTCTTTTTGCTTTTCTGCTGAATCACTGCTGTCAACATTTTTCTTTTCTTTTTGTTCAGTTCATTCCTTGAGCTCATTATTAGAAAGACTGTGGTGCTTCTTGAATTATTTATTCGACATCTTCCTCATTTATTCTTTCAAATTCTGGGTTGAAATAAAAGAGCGCTAAACGATACGGCGTTAAACGGGGTATTACTGTACTTATATATACTATATATACTTATATATACTATATATACTATATATATACTTATATATACTTATATATATTGTATATATGTATATATATATTGTATATATGTATATATATATTGTATATATGTGTATATATATATATATATACATATATACATATGAGTAATTTTTGGGCGATACATCAAAGAAAAAAAGATTTATAAATTAATTAATCTTTAATTCTAAACATTTCGACATACAATTTGATATGTACACAGCACAAAAGTTTGCACTAACATTGATACAACTAACTTGTCTGTCTTGTTTTTGTTTTATGTAAATAGGAATGAGAATTTTGTTTCAAACGAATGTAGAGAAAGTATTTTTGCAAAAGAACTTGTAATCACTACAGTTTCCGAGGCTTATATCAAGACAAGATATAAGACCTTTGTTGGTACAATAGAAACTTAATGTTTCTTACACTTTCAGTCTTAATTATACAATTTGTAGTAGATTTAAATAGATGTCAAATTCAAATCCTTCAGGAAACAATTTTTTTTAGGGGAATCAGTTCCACTGTTCGTAGATGTATTGAGAAAGAATCTGGCAAAGAATTTGCTGCAAAAATAATTGGTAATAGACTGAGGGTTAGTGAATATTGTGTTTTATTAGATTTGGCATATAATAAAATTGAATTGAATTCCTAATAAAGAATTTTTCATCAATATTTTTAAGAATCTTCCAATTAATAACATATAAAGAATATCAATAAAGAATTGATACAAATGAAATAAGAATAATATATACATATTTTTATCTATTCTTACATTATTAAATTGGATTATTATATTATATATATGAACACAAAATGTGAAGTCTTCAAACGATAATTTATTTCATATGTTTTATAGAAATTCTGTTTTTATGATAAATAAATAAAATTAAATATATGATTCCAATTCTTATTCACACAATATTCACTATCCTTTTAGAGATTACGTGACTTTAAACTCAATTTTGTGAAGCAAAATTATTCTAGATTTGGGCACTGAAGGGTGTGGAGATGAAGTTAGTGCACCTGAATATAAAACTATGAAAGAATCAACACATCAAGAAGTAAACATTTTGAGACATGTTTTGGGACATCCGTATATCAGTAAATTTGTTCATAACATTAATAAATATTAAGTACCACTTATTCATCAATTGAATCATTGTTACAGTTGAATTACAAGATGTTTTTGAATCTGACACATTTATATTTCTGGTTTTTGAGTTGTGCCGGAATGGTGAACTGTTTGACTACTTGACATCTGTTGTAACACTAACAGAAAAGAAAACCAAATATATTATGAGGTACTTACAAAAAAATTTACTATATTTATTTATTATTTTTCAAAAATTTATTTTAAATCCAATTTTTTTATGGATTTAAAATAAATTTTTGAAAGAAATTCATGTTTTTTATTGATGTTATATATATATATATATATATATATATATATATATATATG